TGCACAAAAGATAAAATCACAAAAAAATCAATCTTACGTTTACCGCTGGTGGGGACGAATGAAGGTGGTCAGTGAATGCATCGCAGAGAGGGTCTGTGAATGCATCATGGAGAGGGTCAGTGAATGCATCACAGAGAGGGTCAGTGAATGCATCATGGAGAGGGTCGGTGAATGCATCGTGGAGAGGGTCGGTGAATGCATTATGTCGAGGGTCAGTGAATACATCGCGGAGAGGGTCAGTGAATGCATCATGGAGAGGGTCAGTGAATGCATCATGGAGAGGGTCGGTGAATGCATCGCGGAGAGGGTTGGTGAATGCATCGTGGAGAGGGTCAGTGAATGCATCATGGAGAGGGTCAGTGAATGCATCATGGAGAGGGTCAGTGAATGCATCATGGAGAGGGTCGGTGAATGCATCACGGAGAGGGTCAGTGAATGCATCATGGAGAGGGTCAGTGAATGCATCGCAGAGAGGGTCTGTGAATGCATTATGTAGAGGGTCAGTGAATGCATCGCGGAGAGGGTCAGTGAATGCATCATGGAGAGGGTCAGTGAATGCATCATGGAGAGGGTCGGTGAATGCATCGCGGGGAGGGTCAGTGAATGCATCGCGGAGAGGGTCAGTGAATGCATCGCGGAGAGGGTCAGTGAATGCATCACGGACCAGGTTGATCCAGGACTATGAAGCAGGTCTAACTGTTCCTGGTTCCTTTAACAGATCTGGTCTAAGGTTAGGGCCATGAAGATCAGCTGAGTGGTTCTGAAGCAGGTTCTTGGTTCCAGTCTCAGAACCAGAACCTGATTCTGGTCTCGTCGTTGTCATAGGACTGTAAACAGGAAGCTGGAAGGTGACGATGCATGATGTCATAGCTGATGCCATGTTTGGTTTCCAGCATCAGTTACCATGGTAACAGACTCTGGGAACAGTGAACCAGGTTCTGGTCCTGCTCCATAGTCCGGGTCCTGGTCTAGATCAGGTCGTGGCGGGTCAGGGTTAGCTTTAGCGTGTATGTGAGGTTATTTGTCGTTGATCCGTAGCTTGAAGGAAACTCGACCAGCGAACTTGTCCCTCTCGCTGCCGGCCAGCAGAGTGTTGGAGACGACTTTACACTCAACATCGATGTCTGTGTTCAGACTGGCGTTCAGGAACTTCACGGCCACCAGCGGCTGGGTGTAGTTCACCTGAGGGCCAGAACACACATGTCATCAGTGAGAGGTTCTGTTAGTGTGGATGTGGCAGAACTCACACCTCCTCCTGTGGTGGACCACGGTACCGGCTGAGTTAAAGGATGAATGACCCGCGCTTGTTCAGCACCTCTCAGAGTCAGAGGACTCCAAAGTGCTTTACACTACAGTGTATCATTCACCCATTCACACCCTGGTGATGATGAGCTACCATGTAGCCACAGCCGCCCAGGGGCACACTGACAGGCGAGTTAGTGGGTGACGGCAACTCAGGGCTTAGTGATTTGTGACCAGAAGGTTGCTGGTTGAAAACCAGCCTCAGTCAGTCACAGTTGTGTCTTTGAACGAGACACCTCACCTCCCAGTCCAGAGGGAGCGGTGGCTTCTGTACAGCCCCCCCCCCCCCAACCCTATTTACTGTGTACTGAAGTACTAGAGCTGAGTTACCTGAGCTTTCTTGCCGTAGTACGGGTAGTACATCAGGTTAAAGGTTCCATTGGTGGGAAAATAGGCCAGAGGTCCAATCTTCTCACTGTCCTCCTTCTGCACACACACGCACGCACGCACGCACGCACGCACACACACACACGCACACACACACACACACACACACACACACACACACGCACGCACGCACACACACACACACACACACACACACACATCAGGGATGTAAACACTAGTAAAATGTAAAAGACCCCCTAACCCTAACCCAGAGGCCGTGTGGCCAGTCAGGAACCCTGGCGGGGTCAGAGGTGACGGAGACTCGGCGCTCTGCTACCTCCGGGGGTTTGAGGTGATGACACCCGTTAGTTAGAGGGTTGCTTTGGTTTCAAGCCTCGTCTGATAGCAGCTGATTTATTGAATTTATTTTCTGTTTAGACTAAAATAAGAAAGATGTTTACATATGAGGTTGTTTTACTTTCCCAGTGGGGATGTTGGCAGAGGATCACAGAAAGGTCACATGTCCTTGGTTTGAGAGCGGTTGCTTAAGCTCACTTGAGTTTTTACATCCTTCAGTCGTCCCAGAGAGGAGGAAACCACATCATCGCTCCCCGAGCCTCCATCCATCCCCGCTGCACGGGCAGCTGTGAGCTCGCCTGATCTTCAGATGGAACGGGCCGACGGAAACACACAGGAGTCCACCTCCACACGCTGGACAGCTGATGTTGAGGACATTGCTCATAAGAGGGCCGTCCTCCCTCAGAGTCACCAACGGTGTCCCGTTAAAAAGCTCCTGACACCAGACATACTGCAGAAAGACAGAATACTGTCCCCATGTCCACGTGTACATGCAGACGTACTCCCTGGACACCTGTTGGTCTTTGGGTCCACAGGTGTGTGAGCAGGTGTCCTCCAACAGGACCTTGGTCATGAACAGCTTCCTGTTTTGTGTTCAGCCCGGAGGTTCTGTCATGATCTGTGCTGCATAACCATCTCTGCTGAGTGTTTACAGGTGGGTGTGTCTGGAGAGCCCAGCTGTGCCAAATCAGCTCATCAGCGATCAGGAGATTTAAGGAGCAGCTGGACATCTCACCATTGCCAGATGATACTCAGTCTTGGGTAGTTACTAGCCTCCTTTTGACCTTCCTAAAAACTATTTTAGAATTTGTTTGTCCGCCTGTTCCTGCCCTCCTGGCAGTTAACCTGCTCTGCCCTCCTGGTTCCTCCAGGTTCCAGTCATCTGTTCATCTCCACTCTCTGCTATACCTCCGGAACCATCTACCACATTCCAGTCCTGCTGTTTACCCCCTGATCGCCAGCTCTCCGTCACCCACCTATCCACCTGCAGCTCCTCGGTCTCCCCATCCAGCCAGGTCTGACCAACCCCCCCACAAAATACCGGATCATCCAGGAAACAGTAAGCCTTCTTATTTTTTGATCATCATCTCACGTTGCTCCAGACTCTGACCTCTCTTCCTCTCTCAGACCCCACGGATCCCTCCAGTCCTGCAGAAGCTTCGGCTACCTCTCCCATTCAAAATAAATCATTTAAACGTACCTTCTGTCTCTCGGTGGTGATTCTTCATGTCGTGGGTCAAGAAATCACCCTGAAACATGACCGGTTCAGGAGCAGAAAGCACACCAACCAGGTATGACTTTAGCTGGCAGTCGTGTTTCTACGTGGTTCAGTAACATAATCCTGTTGAGGATAACGGCCGACTAGCTCACACTGACATGTCTGGTTTCCTGCTGGTGGCTCATTCAGGCCCAGAACCCCAGAAGACTGGCTCTGACCGGTTTCCATAAAGCAGCAGGTTACATAACAGACCAGCCTTGCCTGCCAGCAGGGCTTCCTATGAGCCAGATGATGATGGAACAGGACCCAAGAACTCTTATTTTGAAAGGGTTTGCTATAAGGGTAAGGGTTAGGTAAGTAAAGCTGTTCCTTTGGTTAGGAGCTGGTGAACAGGAAGACTTTTACTGTCAAATGTAACCGTTGGTGGTCCCTCATTAAGCTCCGCCCCATAGCGCTGAAAGGAATTCTAACCGCCTCCATGACCTACGCTCCTGGGACGCTCCGCTGCTGGTGGACACACCCATCCACCGTGATGGCGGCTCGGTGCTGCGCTGCATGGACGTTACCGGTGTCTAGGCCCGGTGAGAGCCGAGCTGAGGGCATGAGAGCCAAACGTGTTCTATAAGACCGATGAGCAAGGTCCGCCTCCAGCTGCAGCATCATCCAGGTGAGCTTTACCTGAACCCTGACTTGACCTGGTTCAGATTCTGCTCCACGAATAAAGACCAACGCTTTAGAACCAGATGTTTGGTTCTGACCCAGATGCTGGTTCTGTAGGAAACCCGAACAAGAAGAACTGATGAATCATAACCTAGATGTTTGGTTCTGACCCAGATGCTGGTTCTGTAGGAAACCCGAACAAGAAGAACTGATGAATCATAACCTAGATGTTTGGTTCTGAGCAGGAGAGAGGAGACGGCTCCTCCTGACTGATGTTTGCTCTAACCCTCTCACCTGTCGGGCTGGAGACAAACACACAGACACGATGGAGGACAGGTGAGTGCCCACAATCGGATGAGATGAAGACAGGAGGACAAAGGACCTGACAGACAGATGGACTCAGACCTTGGCTCCACAGGTGACATAAGGAGACTCTCCATCCTTCCCAGGTAGCATCCCGATCACCTGCAGGTGGAAGAGGACAGGTGAGTGTCTTCAGGTAGACAAGGACAGGTGGAAGGTGTCCAAACTAAAACACCTGTGTTATCTACCGTCTCCAGGTGGTAATGGGTACAAATGGGTTTGGAACACCAGAGCAGGTCCATGTTGGACCACATCAGGCTCATTCTAACGTTCCAGTTAGAACCAGGAGGGTGAAAGGTCCACGGTTCTGCTGCCATGAGGACTTGATCACCCTTATGCTCCACCTGGACTTCAGGACCCACATAGACCTTCATCATCAGCAGGCCTGAAGGTTCTGGGCGGAGCTTCAGGCGGTTCTGGGCTGTACTAGAACCAGAACCCTCTAACTTTATAAAAAACCGTTCTGTGGTTTTAGTTAAGACCTACACACCTACATCTACAGCTCACTGCTGTTTCTGTTACAAAATGCTGGCAGAACAACAGCGGCAACAGAACCTTTAACTTTTTACAGTCAGAGGTCAAAGGTCAACCTACCCGGTTCAGTTTGAGGAGGATGCATGGCTGGCCCTTGTTGTAACCATAGAAACGATCCAACATCCCAGAACAGTCTCCTAACATGGTGCGGTTGAACTGACAGGAGCGTTTGGGATTGTTCCTCACCTGCAGATGCAAACAGGTTCAGTTCCGTGTGTTTCTACAGACCTAGAGTCGTGTCAAGGACCTGCACACAGTAAACAACACAGGTCAGGTCATGAAGCCAAGCAGTAACACGTTTACTCTATAAGGAACCCAGCAGGTCGCATCGAGTCACTGACTAGTGTCAGAGTCTTTACAGCAATCCTCATACTAAGCAAGCATGCAGCGACAGTGGAGAGGAAAACTCCCTTTTAACAGGAAGAAACCTCCAGAGAATCCTGGCTCAGTATAAGCAGCCATCCTCCACGACTCACTGGGGATGGAGAAGACAGAGCAAACACACACACACACACACACACACACACACACACACACACACACACACACACACACACACACACACACACACACACACACACACACACACACACACACACACACACACACACACACACACACACCTCCCTCCCTCCCTCCCTCCCTCCCTCCACCGTGTCCTGGGTCTACCTTTAGGTCTCCTCCCGGTTGGACGTGCCCAGAAAACCTCACCAGGGAGGCGTCCAGGAGGCATCCTGACCAGATGCCCAAGCCACCTCAACTGGCTCCTCTCAATGTGGAGGAGCAGCGGGTCTACTCCGAGCCCCTCCCGGATGACCGAGCTTCTCAGCCTATCTCTATGGGAGAGCCCAGCCACTCTTCAGAGGAAACTCATTTCGGCGGCTTGTATCCGCGATCTCCTTCTCTCTGTTACCACCAAAATCTCATGGTGAGGGTAGGAACGTAGATTGACCGGTAAATCGAGATTTTTTACGAGTAAAATTAATTCTATTAGAAACCAAATCTTTAGCATCCTCCCTAGTGTGATTTCTTCTTCCTCAGTAAGTGAGGCAGCATCAGAGGTAACTGTAGAACCCCAGATGACCCCACTCACCCCAGCCATTGAATACACCTCACAAAAATAAACAATAATTAACAAGAGTCTGCTTCTAGACCTGCAGAAAGAGAAAGAATAGAAAAAAGGGACACACAACAATACATCAGGAGCAAGCTATCACCGCGTCAACCTGATGATGAAATATAAAATCAACATTGTTTAACTGAACAATCACACGAGAATAAATCACAGTGCATTAAGTGCCCACCATATCCTTAAGACAAGTGTTGAACGTGCCCAAGCCCATACTTATGAGAGCACCATGTGAGCACCTGTGTGTGTACACGCGCTTGTTTATGTAAGGTTTATCTATAGGAGCGTCCAACAGAGAGTGTGAGGGACCAGAGACCTGCCCCCTAAAGACACGTAGGAGACGGAGGGAGCTCCAAGTCCCAGAGATCCAGGAGTTGCCCCAGAATACAGGAACCCTAAGGGGACTGCAACCAGAAAGGCCCCCCCGCCCCCCTCGAGAGGCGCAGAGGATCGCCCCGGGGGGGCACAACCAGCAGCCGGCAGAGTCCCGGAAGATATCAGCGGCAAGCCCACAGGCCCGCCCACTGCCTCCCACCCCCTAGCCGGCCAAGCCCTGGACCCAGAGACCCGGGACCCAGGGGCGACCACCCCTGCCGGGGACCCAGCAGAGCCCACGGGCCCAGACCCCACCAGGCAGCCACCGGGATCGACCAGGCAGACGCCAAATCTTAAACCCCCTGACCCGGGAGCCACGAACACTCAGGCAGACCAAGGCACGACACCCCACACCAGGTGTGGCGGGGGAGGGGAGACGAAGGTCTATATCATCAAAGGAGGTCCCAGGAGAGGGAAGGAGTCAAAGGCCCCACCTGTCATATACAGTCATACACAAACACAGTCACACACTCCCTCCCTCATGCTCACACACACACATACAACTAAAGACTTAAAAAATGCACGCCGGACACCCACTCATGCTCCCCATACACACCCTATTCACTCTGGTCCCGGTACTGCTGCACATGGGGTACAATGATTACCCGTTGCCAGAGTTTGACCATTTCTGCTGGGGTGCTGATGAGCAGGCTCCCCCGCCCAACGCTGAGCACAGCAACCCACCACCCCAGACCCCAACCAGACGGCCAGATCTCCCTCCTAGCCTCCAGCCCCAGGAAGCCAAGCAACAACAGAGGTGTGCTAAGACCCCTCCGCCTGCTCAAATATGGTGTTAGTGTGTGTTGATGAGGTGTATTCCATGGCTGTGGTGAGCTGGCAGAGCGGGCATCGTCTAGCCTATGCCAGCTGATGCCACCGCACCACCCCACTTGCACCCACAGCCCTCGGTGTCTAAGTGCAGTTTAAATTGGAAGTGGGCACCGGCATTTGGGAGGAGTCAGAGAAATCCCCCTTGCCAAATGCAGTTGAATGTGCTCACTCCCAAGGCCTTAAGTGTGTGTTTGCGTGGAATGTCGTTGGTGGAAGTGTATAAGGTGCAAATAAAATTGGGGGGCAGGTTGCCACAGGAATGCGGAAACGGGGTCCCGCATACCCGCACTCCCTGATTTGTCCACCCCCCAAGGTCCTATGTGCATGTTTGTGTGATGATGTGAGGGAGCAGGAGGAGAGAAATATGCGGGGATGGGGAGGAACGGTTTATTAGTTTATTGTACGCACCTGTCTTGCCTCCAGATCTCACTCCTCACACCTGTCACCTGTTCCCCTGATCACCTCCCTCTGTGTTTAAAAATCCTGTCTTGTCCCTCAGTGTTTGTCGGTCCATTATTGTTGTCGGCGTGTTTGTTCCCCGTGTAAACCTGAGACTCTTGCTCAGTTAGGGACCTCCTGAATCTGTTTTTGTGTTTCCTGATACCTGGCTTGGCTTCCTGTCTGTCGTTTTGGATAAACTCCCATAATAACGGATTCTACCTTTTTCAACTACTCCTGCCTCATGTCGTCTGGTGCTCTGCATCTTGGGTCCTACTCCTCCTGCTCTGAACCTGACACAGTTAAGGGCAGAGCTATCAGAACCACACTGAAGAGTTTGGGTCTGTGGAGTTAAGTTATGGAATGATTGTGTTCAGTAACAAAGCAAAGTCCAGACGTGATGACCCAGCCTTTAGTGTCCGGTATCTAGAACTGCCGGTGTAGCCATCCAGTTCCAGTGAGTCTTTACCCTCAAAAGGAGGCAGCAGGACTCTGCAGAGGTAGAATGTGGATTTCATGGGTGTGCCACCCCCTGCAGGTACCTGCAGAATAGCTATGGGTTTTTTTACCGAGTGAAGTCTGTGATGGTGGTGTATCATGTTCTCCTCTTTCACCTCATCTTGGGTAGATGTTGAAGCATCAGCTGTAGGTGTACAGGGTGCTGCCGCCTCATCCTGTGTCATAATTGGTTTAGAGATTCCTCTGGCCCTTTCCCATTCGGACACACAGATTTTCTCAGGCTGACACCGAGTGTGCTGAATGACACAAGGTTTTTAAAGAGCTGACCATGGCTGAAGGGGTCTCGGATCAAAGGGAGGGGTCATTACATCATAGATCTGAAAGGGTCACTGATTCTCATCAGGTGCGTCTGAATAGGGTGGGTTAAGGGGGGCCGCTGGAGACGCAATTAATTGATCGATTGATTAACCAGGAAACGTCCCATTGAGATTAAAAACCTCATTTCCAAGGGAGTCCTGGACAAGAGGCAGCAAAAGTTACAGTTACTACATTTTTCAGTTACACAGACATGTAATGTACTAGATTACTAGATTACAAAATGCAGTTACAACAGAGGGAATCTCTCTCAAGGGCTCTCAGTCTGGTTTTAAACGTATTCAAGGAGATAAACCGGTTTAATTTACAGTGTTCCTGCAGCCTGGTCCATGCAGAAGGAGCAGAGTGAACCAAAGCCCTTCAGCCCAGTTCGGTGTGAGCAAACAGAACACAGAGTAACAGCTGATGGTTTGTACTCAGACTGTGAGAAGTTAGACTTCTCTGTGAGCTTAAGTTACACATGTAGGTGGGCAGTGATCCAAGCATGGCCTTGTAAATGAAGGTGTACCAATGCCCCAACCTCCTGGTGGACAAAGTAGGCCGTCCCACTGGAGAACCCAGTTCACCATGATGGGTCAGTGGTCTACAGTTAGTGATAAACCTCAGCGAGGCATGATGACCACATCACTCTTACCAAGACACTGTACTGAGGCATTCATTTGGTTTGTGTTTGGCTTTGCCTCTGCCCTTTTTGTTTAATTTATATCCATTTCCCTCCCTTCTGGGTCAAATTTTATTCACGCATTATGTTTATGTTTATGTATTTAGCAGACGCTTTTGTCCAAAGCCACTTACAAGTGATAATCGGCATGTTGCCTTTGAGGCTAACAACAACAACAACAACGTGACATCAGTCATGGAGAGGAGGGAACAAGGAGTGGACAGTAGAGAGGGGGGACGGGTGCAGGGAGGGTGCTAGTTTAGAAGATGCTCTCTGAAGAGCAGGGTCTTCAGGAGTTTCTTGAAAATTGAAAAGGAATCTCCTGTTCTGGTAGTGCTTGGAAGGTCATTCCACATTTGTGGAACGATGCATGAGAAGAGTCTGGATTGTCCTGAGCGTGGTGTAGGCACTGCTAGCCGACCATCCTGTGATGACCGGAGCGGCCGGGCCGAGACGTAAGCCTTTGCAAGAGGATTCAGGAAGATGGGAGCCGTACCATCTCGGACTTTGTATGCTAGAGTTAGCAACTTGAAATTGATGCGTGCTGCTAGCGGTAGCCAGTGGAGCTCAATGAACAGTAGGACGGAGAGGCTGGAAACTGTTGTCACTTTAAAGCACATGCAGATGCATAGGGCTTAAACAAACCAGTAAGATCCACTGGGACCAAATTAACAGTAAAATCAACAGGTAACCAGTGCAGAGGCCAGGCCTTAACCTCTGGGGCCAGCCGCTGTGTCACAGAGAGACACTCATAAATACATCACCTGATTGGCTGATTTAGCCTTGAGATCATCACATGTGATCTACTAGGTCAGTAAAGGTTCTGCTTACCTCGCCGCTGTCCTCCTGGATGAAGTATTGATCAGAAGGGCAGTTATCATTGGTCTGGACCTGATGGCTGTCGTTGTAAGCTGCACACACACACACACACACACACACACACACACACACACACACACACACACACACACACACACACACACACACACACACACACACACACACACACACACACACATACATACAGGGTTAGGGTTACACAAGGGCTCAGCAAAAGGACTGCAGAGGCTGACAGACACGCCTGACCAACTATCTGTTGAAAGAGACGGAGACCACCAGCTGGTGATTGGTCTGGGTAAAGCTTGGTTTATGTTTGACGCGTCCACGAGGTTCGCACGGCTCCGCGCGGCAAAATTACGTCATTTTAAAAACCACGCCCCTCCATCGCTCCTCCGCACGGCCCAAACTTTCCGCACCGCACACCTAGGAAATTTTCTAACCACAGGGACGGTCGGATGCGGAAAAACATGGCGGACTGGCAAGAACTAGTATGTCAGAGGTTCGTAAATACAGACATTTGTATGATTCAGCTCTCAGAGATCACCGTGATCAACATGTTAATAATTCTTGGAGAGAAATAGCTCGCACTGTCGGAAAAGACGAGGACGCTGTTAAAAATGCTGAAATGCCATGTTGTAAACAGTAATTTCTACTTCTACTATGGTGTAGTGTTGGATGCATGCCGTAGAGCTCCATGCTGCCCCCTACAGTTTGGGAGAATATTGGCTCACCGCAGAGACAAGCCGCATGAACCATAAACGCTGCGAGTTGTGAAGCGCGTTCCATCCACGAGCCGCATCACCAAGCGGAAAGTGAATGTGTCAAGCATAAACCAAGCTTTAGAGCCATTCCCTCTTAAAACTAAAACAAATACCAACGATATCCAGCGGCAGATGCAAAGCAGACTGAAGAACGTCTTGTGGAAAAAGTCCTAAAATGTGAATGTTAATACACTCGTGGCTGACAGAAATGTGGGTTTAGAGGTGGTGAACACAATGTAAACACATAATAGTAAACACACTAGAGACGTGAATGCATTCATGGCAGCATATGCCCTCTGCTGTCCTGGTGGATAATAGTTTCACCAAAACACTAACAGAGAAGGAAAAACGTCGTCGTCAGCAGGTGCGTGACTCCACACTCCAGCTGGCAAAGGTGTATAAATGCGGCTTTACGATGATGAAAAGCCTTTATGTCTGAGTCACTTGTTTAAATTCATACTCCAGGGTTACTTGCGGAGTACCACAGGGTTCAGTGCTTGGACCGATTCTTTTTACTATTTATATGCTCCCAATTGGTAAAATCATTAGACAGCATGGGATAAACTTCCACTGTTATGCTGACGATACTCAGTTATATTTATCCATTAACCCTGATGAACCTAATCGGTTGGGTAGATTACAGGCTTGTCTTGAGGACATAAAACATTGGATGACTCTAAACTTTTTGCTTTTAAATCAAGACAAGACAGAAGTTCTCATCTTTGGACCAGAAATCCAGAAAAGGAAATTGCTTAGCCAATCGCATGACCTGAATGGCATTACATTAATCTCCGAGAACAAAGCAAGGAACCTTGGTGTTATCTTTGACCAGGACATGTCATTCAAATCCCAGGTTTCACAAGTTTGTCGGATTTCCTTTTTCCACCTTCGGAATATTGCTAAGATTAGAAGCATCCTTTCCAGGAGTGATGCTGAAAAACTAGTTCATGCATTTATTACATCAAGACTGGATTACTGTAATTCATTACTCTCAGGAAGTCCACAGAATGTAGTTAAAAGTCTTCAGCTTGTCCAAAATGCTGCAGCTAGAGTTCTGATGAGAATTAAAAAGAGAGATCATATCTCTCCTGTCTTAGCTTCCCTACATTGGCTACCTGTTAAATTCAGAATAGATTTTAAGATCCTTCTTCTCACATATAAAGCTCTTAATAATCAAGCTCCATCATACATCAGTGATCTGATTGTTCCATACGTTCCTAACCGAGCACTTCGCTCTCAGACTGCAGGTCTACTGGTGGTTCCCAGAATATCTAAAATTAGGATGGGAGGCAGATCTTTTAGTTATCAGGCTCCTCTCCTGTGGAACCAGCTCCCAGCTTTAGTCCGTGAGGCAGACACTTTGTCTACTTTTAAGAATAGGCTTAAAACATTTTTATTTGATAGGGCCTATGTTTAAAATCTGATGTTAGCCTAGTTCTGGACAAGTGGGGGAGTACAGGGAGGTGGAGTGTACAGTCGGTAAAGACGGCTCTCCCTTGCCCTGCCTCCAACATGCCTCCATCTAAATAGGATAGATTATCCAGAGTTATCTCTGTAGTTATGCTGCTATAGGCTTAGACTGCTGGAGGATACACTGACCACTTTTCACATTTACTGCTTTCTTCTACAATCTGCTCTTTAACTGTATTATTTCCTGCTATTTCAGCTGTTAACTTTATTTTCTCTCTAAGTGTTTTTCTCCCCAGAAGAAGCTACAACGATGTTCTGCTGAGCTGTGGTGGCCTCATGGAGGGGGCCATCGACTAGCACACTGCTGCTAACCACTAAAACATTCTCCCTCTCCTGTGGGCGACGGTGGCACAGGAGTTAAGTGCTCGTCCCGTAATCGGAAGGTTGCAGGTTCGAGCCCCGCTCAGTCTGTCGCTGTCGTTGTGTCCTTGGGCAAGACACTTAACCCACCTTGCCTGCTGGTGGTGGTCGGAGGGATCGTGGCGCCTGTGCTCGGCAGCCTCGCCTCTGTCAGTGCGCCCCAGGGCAGCTGTGGCTACATTGTAGCTCATCACCACCAGGGTGTGAATGGATGAGTTACTGATTGTCTTGTATAGCTTCTTGGGGTTAAATATATCCAGTAGAACCAACACAGTCACCTTCTATTTGTCATAATTTACTCTAAAACCTTCAGAAGGGCTGTCTCGGTGCTGTGGTTCACCCTAAAACCAGGCTGAAATTTTTCAAAGACATTATAGGTGTTGATAAAATCATTGAGCTGAATTAAAACAAGCTTTTCTAAAATGTTGCTTAAAAATGGTAAGTTGGATACCGGTCGATAATTGTTTAAATCATTAAAATCTAAATTGCTCTTCTTCTGCAGGGGCCTCACCACCGCCCTTTTAAAAGCAGCAGGAAAGACCCCGTCTGAAGGGAACAATCCATCATAGTTAAAACCTCATCTCTAAAAGAATCATAGAATTGTTTAAAAAAAACCTAGTGGGAATAGGGTCCAGGACACATGTGGTGGGTCTCACCGGGGAGAAAACTTTATAAAGAGTCTCAGCTTCAACCAGAACAAAACTGTCCAGTGTTTCCTCAGGCAGACTCTCAGATGTGTCTAAAACCGTGTTACGTTGAGAGGGTAAAATGTTACATCTGACGGTGTCTACCTTCCCTCTGAAGTGGGCTGCAAACTCCTCACAAAGAGTGTTTCAGGGGTTTTCTGAGTTGAGTTTGGGTTGGAGTTGAGAATGTTATTGATTGTGGAGAAAATAATTTTAGGGTTATTTTTATTGTCTGAGAGGATTTTGGAAAAGTATGTGTTTGTTGCATTTCTTACGGCATTATTGTATGTTTTAAGTACTGAATATATCTGATGGTTTATTGTTTGTTTTTCCTCCATCTCCTCTCCGCCGCTCTGCAGTTTCTCTTTAGCTTTCTTAGGTTTTCATTTCTCCAAGGTGATGTTTGATTTGACTGTAATTTTTTGGTTTTGAGTGGAGCAAGCAAGTTAAGAGCTGACTCAGATTCATGGACTCAGATGATTCGTAGATTCATCTGATTCATAGATTCAGATGATTCATTGATTCAGATGATTCATTGATTTAGGTGATTCATCAGATTCATAGATTCAGATGATTCATTGATTCAGATGATTCATCATAGATTCATCTGATTCATCAGATTCATAGATTCAGATGATTCATAGATTCAGATGATTCATCTGATTCATAGAGTCAGATGATTCATAGATTCAGATGATTCATCTGATTCATTGATTCAGATGATTCATCAGATGCATAGATTCATCTGATTCATCAGATTCATAGATTCAGATGATTCATCAGATTCATAGATTCAAATGATTCATCTGATTCATAGATTCAGATGATTAATCAGATTCATAGATTCATCTGATTCATACACTGAGATGATTCATCTGATTCATAGATTCAAATGATTCATGGATTCAGATGATTCATCAGATTCATAGATTTGGATGAGTCATACACTCAGATGATTCATCTGATTCATAGATTCATATGATTCATAGATTCAGAAGATTCACAGATTCATAGATTCATCTGATTCATAGATTCAGATGATTCATCTGATTCACAGATTCAGATGATTCATTGATTCAGATGATTCATAGATTCAGATGATTCACAGATTCAGATGATTCAGATGATTCATAGATTCAGGTGATTCATCTGATTCATAGATTCAGATGATTCATAGATTCAGATGATTCATCAGATTTATAGATTCAGATGATTCATCGGATTCATATGATTCATAGATTAATCTGATTCACAGATTCAGATGATTCATAGATTCAGATGATTCATAGATTCAGATGATCCATAGATTCATAGATTCAGATGATTCATCAGATTCATAGATTCATCTGATTCATACACTCAGATGATTCATCTGATTCATAGATTCAGATGATTCATACATTCAGATGATTCATTGATTCATATGATTCATAGATTCAGATGATTCATCAGATTCATAGATTCAGATGACTCATAGATTCAGATGATTCATCGAATTCATATATTCATCAGATTCATAGACTGAGATGATTCATAGATTCATCTGATTCATAGTTTCAGATGATTCATCTGATTCATAGATTCAGATGATTCATTGATTCAGAAGATTCAGATGATTCACAGATTCAGATGATTCATTGATTCAGATGATTCATAGATTCAGATGATTCATCAGATTCATAGATTCCGATGATTCAGATGATTCATAGATTCAGATGATTCAGATGATTCATAGATTCACATTCATCTGATTCATAGATTCAGATGATTCATTGATTCATAGATTAATCTTATTCATAGATTCAGATGATTCATTGATTCAGATGATCAATCAGATTCATAGATTCATCTGATTCATAGATTCAGACGATTCATAGATTCAGATGATTCATAGATTCAGACGATTCATAGATTCAGATGATTCATCTGATTCATAGAGTCAGATGATTCATAGATTCAGATTATTCATCTGATTTATTGATTCAGATGATTCATAGATTCAGATGATTAATCAGATTCATAGATTCAGATGATTCATAGATTCGTCTGATTCCATGAATCATCTGATTCATACATTCAGATGATTCATACATTCAGATGATTCATTGATTCATATGATTCATAGATTCAGATGATTCATCAGATTCATAGATTCAGATGATTAATCAGTTTCATAGATTCAGATAACTCATATTCAGATGATTCATCAAATTCATAGATTCATCAGATTCATAGACTCAGATGATTCATAGATTCACTGATTCATAGATTCAGATGATTCATCTGATTCATAGATTCAGATTATTCATCTGAGTCATAGATTCAGATGATTCATTGATTCAGATGATTCACAGATTCAGATGATTCATTGATTCATCAGATTCATAGATTCAGATGATTCATCAGATTCATAGATTCAGATGATTCAGATGATTCATAGATTCGGATGATTCATAGATTCATCACATTCATCTGATTCATAGATTCAGATGATTCATTGATTCATAGATTCATCTAATTCATAGATTCAAATGATCCAGATGATTCAGATGATTCATCAGACTCATAGATTCAGACGATTCATAGATTCAGACGATTCATAGATTCAGATGATTCATCTGATTCATAGAGTCAGATGATTCACAGATTCAGATGATTCATCTGATTTATTGATTCAGATGATTCATACATTCAGATGATTCATCAGATTCATAGATTCGTCTGAGTCATCAGATTCATAAATTCAGATGATTCATAGATTCAGATGATTCATCAGATTCAGATGATCCATAGATTCATAGATTCAGATGATTCATCAGATTCATAGATTCATCTGATTCATCAGATTCATAGATTCAGATGATTCATCTGATTCATAGGATTATCTAATTCATAGATTCAGATGATTCATCTGATTCATCTGATTCATAGATTCAGACGATTCATAGATACAGATGATTCATAGATTCAGACGATTCATAGATTCAGATAATTCATCTGATTCATAGATTCAGATGATTCATCTGAGTCATTGACTCCAATTATTCATAGATTCTGATGACTCATCAGATTCATAGATTCATCTAATTCATAGATTCATCTGATTCATAGATCCAGATGATTCATAGATTCAGATGATTCATAGATTCAGATGATTCATCAGATTCATAGATTCAGATGATTCATCAGAGTCATAGATTCAGATGACTCATAGATTCAGATGATTCATCAGATTCATAGATTCATCTGATTCATAGACTCAGATGATTCATAGATTCATCTGATTCAGATGAGTCATCTGATTCATAGATTCAGATGATTCATCTGATTCATAGATTCAGAAGATTCATTGATTCAGATGATTCATAGATTCAGATGATTCATTGATTCAGATGATTCATAGATTCATCAGATTCATAGATTCAGATGATTCATAGATTCAGATGATTCATCAGATTCATAGATTCATCAGATTCATAGATTCATCAGATTCATAGATTCAGATGATTCATAGATCCAGACGATTCATCAGATTCATAGATTCAGAAGATTCATAGATTCAGATGATTCATAGATTCAGATGATTAATAGATTCAGAAGATTCATAGATTCAGATGATTCATCTGATTCATAGAGTCACATGATTCATAGATTCAGATGATTCATCTGATTCATTGATTCAGATGATTCATAGATTCAGATGATTCATCAGATTCATAGATTCAAATGATTCATCTGATTCATAGATTCAGATGATTCATCAGATTCATAGATTCATCTGATTCATACACTCAGATGATTCATTTGATTCATTGATTCATATGATTCATAGATTCAGATGATTCATCAGATTCCTAGATTCAGATGATTCATAGATTCAGATGATTCATCAGATTCAGAAGATTCAGATGACTCATAGATTCAGATGACTCATAGATTCAGATGATTCATCTGATTCACAGACTCAGATGATTCATAGATTCATCTGATTCATAGATTCAGATGATTCATCTGATTCATAGATTCAGATGATTCATTGATTCAGATGTTTCATAGATTCAGATCATTCAGATGATTCATAGATTCAGGTGAGTCATCCGATTCAGATGTTTCATAGATTCAGATGATTCATAGATTCAGATGATCCATAGATTCATAGATTCAGATGATTCATCAGATTCATAGATTCATATTATTCATACACTCAGATGATTCATCTGATTCATTTGATTCATAGATTCAGATTATTCAGATGATTCATAGATTCATAGATTCAGATGATTCATCAGATTCATAGATTCATATTATTCATACACTCAGATGATTCATCTGATTCATTTGATTCATAGATTCAGATGATTCAGATGATTCATAGATTCAGATGATTCATTGATTCATATGATTCATAGATTCATCAGATTCATAGATTCAGGTGATTCATCAGATTCATAGATTCAGATGACTCATAGATTCAGATGATTCATCAGATTCATAGATTAATCAGATTCATAGACTCAGATGATTCACAGATTCATCTGATTCATAGATTCAGATGATTCATCAGATTCATAGATTCATCTGAATCATAGATTCAGACGATTCATAGATTCATCTGATTCATAGATTTATCTGATTCATAGATTCATCTGATTCATAGATTCATCTGATTCATGGATTCAGATGATTCATAGATTCAGATGATTCATAGATTCAGATGATTCACAGATTCATCTGATTCATAGATTCAGATGATTCATCTGATTCATAGATTCAGATGATTCATAGATTCATCTGATTCCATGAATCATCTGATTCATAGATTCAGATGATTCATCAGATTCATAGATTCATCTGAATCATAGATTCAGACGATTCATAGATTCATCTGATTCATAGATTTATCTGATTCATAGATTCATCTGATTCATAGATTCATCTGATTCATAGACTCATCTGATTCATAGATTCAGATGATTCATAGATTCAGATGATTCATAGATTCATCTGATTCATAGATTCAGATGATTCATAGATTCATCTGATTCATCTGATTCTTACAGCTTCAGGACCCACAGAGAACCCAGTATCTCTTCAACAGGAAGGATCACAGGAAATGATGTCATCATTATTAGTTATTATTTATTAAACCAGGCAGACGTGATTAATGGTAACGTTGAAACTAGAAGGGTTCTTACGGGACAGGAAGTTGTTGAGGTTTGTGACAAAGCCGTCCCAGGTGTTAGAGTCCGACACGGAGAACGTGATCTCCAGCTGATCACCTCTTGGACGAATCATCATCCCTGAAACAGAAAAAGATGAGCAACCAATCAGAACATAAGAGGAAAAGACACCATAACAGCTTTAAATCCAAACCAGGTCCGTATAACCGACGTTACCCAGTCTGCATCTCCTTCATCCACCTGCTCCACCTTAAACATCCACCACGGCCGGTTCACACTATCCCACCATGTAATCTGAGCCAGACTGCAGGTGTTTTACTCTTGTGTAGAAGCTGATAGGTAACCCCGAAGACCAGGGGATGGACCTCATCCTGCTGCAGATGGACCTTCTCACCTGGAGTGGCCAGCTGGTCCTGCCAGGTGGGTTTGTAGTCGTCCAGCGTCAGCAGCAGGACGTACATGGTGAAGGCAAACATCCCCGCCAGAAACAGGTAGAAGATCAGGTAGAAGAGCAGGACCAGACCTGGGGGAGGAGGCAGCATTAGTTCTTCAGCACAGAACACACCCACCTCCAGATGTCAGCAGCATGATCCTCTAGAGTTAGGCCTCGCCCCCTGAAGATGGGCTATGTCCTACATAACTCCTAGTTGGGCTTTTACCTTGTAGATGAACCAGATTCAATGTTAACTTAATAAAATTACCATTAATGCACCAGATGGTTGATTTTAATCCAAACAGCAGGTTTGTTTCCATGTCAGAAACATCCCACAGGCCAGATTATCTTCTGAGAGTTTAATCTCAGAGTAACATTTTAAATGTCTGAATCTCATTTCATATTTCAGGTCACGTTAAAGGAAAGAAACACGCAAATAAAAGGCAAAAGGACCCTTCTGGAACCTTTCTCTCTTTGGTTAGGGTGACTTATCATATCTCAGAGGATCTGGACTCTTTTCAGAGCGAAAAGGAGCAAGGTGAGCAGCAGCCATAGACCACAGAGAGGACCAATGGAGACTCCCTACAATCTTCCTGGTTGCACCTTGGGTGCAGGGCGTTTCTGAAACCAGAGGTGCGGTACGTATCTGCCCTCTCAGGTTTCGCTTAGAGGAACAGCACATGGGATGGGTGAGTCTTGGGCCTCAGGAGTTTTAAAAGCTGCCCAGTCTTGTATGAGGATCAGCCTCACAGCACCACCACACGCTTGGACCGCTTCCTCACACCCCTCCTATCCACCCCACAGACCTTAGATGACTTGAGACGGACCAACTGGATAACCACTGGGAACCCTAGCACTTATGTCATTTCACCTCTCAGTTGTACCAAGTCAAGGCTACTCCTGCTTGGTCCAGTGAAAGAGAGGGATAGGACCTACTCCTACTCCAAACTGAAGCACTAACAAACTATTATAAGAATCAACACAAAACCTTGACATCTAGCGAGCTAAACTGCGTAGGACTGCCCCATTGCATTAGGTTTAAAAGTCACCAAAACTCTAACCCTGGGATTTGATCATCTCGGCGGTCCCCACTGGCGAGAGCGTCTGGTGACTAACTGGCCAAAATGCTTTTTGACCCAGTGGACACCACGAATGATTAGTCCTGAAATTCCAGCTAGCCCTAGATACACAGTAGTACTGGAATAGATACTCCAATCTGGTGCTAGTAGTGCAAGTAATCTAGGGAAGCAAGTAGGACTTAGCCTCATGTAGATAGTCAAACCCCCACCTACCAAGCGCGTCCATTCATCATCTATGACTGACTTTACTTTTATGATGTCTTTTTTCTAGTTATTATGGTTATTTTGGCACCTTGTCTATAAATCTTTATCCTTTACCTCTAAGGCTGAATGCTCTTAATTTAAACCTAAGTCCTTTAGACATGACCCAATCCCATTAACCTAACCCTAACCCTAACCCCCCAACCTAACCATAAGGCCCATGAGCCTGAGCCTAGGCCCCAAACCCCCCATAACAACCCCTCCTCTTTCTTTCTCTCTCTCTTTCCCTTCTTACATACCAAGAACACTACACAAGATACCCAAGCACTGTTTGGATGCATCCAACTGGACAGCTACTACACTCACTGACACATAACTATGTCTCACTACACCAACTACGGAGCATCTCGTACAACCAGCACTGCTGGGATGTGTCCTAGCAGGCTACCTGCACCCACAGAGAGATCCTTATATCTCATTGCACCCACACATACACACCTCTCCCTCTTCTCGAGCACGGGACTGTGTCATCAACAAGCAGGGCACGGGCAGTAGAGGGCGACACCATCCTCTGCTGCCCGCGGATAACGGGAGAAGGAAGTAGAGCCGCCAGCATCATCAAGGCTCTGAGGATGGCTACAGGAAGTAGCCAAAATGTTAGCTAAAAAAGGTAAAGGGAACACACACACACACACACACACACACACACACACACACACACACACACACACACACACACACACACACACACACACACACACACACACACACACACACACACACACACACACACACACACACACACACAGAGAGAGGCTACACTCACATACCGATAAGTTAATGCGGTGCACTGACACAACACAACATCTCCTGCTACACTTCTGTAGGAAGAAGAAGAAGAAGAAGAAAACATCATGTCTATAGCGCCTCTCAAACTAAAAACCACGAGGCGCTTCACAAAAACAAAAAAAGTAAAAATATAAAAAAGCATTTAGAAAATGTTTAAAAATATATTTAAAATGAGCAAAAATAGACAATTGTGTTAAAAATGTAAAGAAAGAGAGAGTGAACAGGAAAGAGGGAAACCAGTGGATCCTGAGGAAGGTGGAATAGGTGGGGAGAGCAGAATAAAGAGAGAGAGGTGAAGAAGGTCATACAAAAGCCAGCTTGAACAAGTGAGTCTTCAGCTGCTTTTTAAAGGAGACCACTGAGTCCACTGATCTCAGGCTCAGGGGGAGAGAGGTCCAGAGTCTGGGGGCCACAGCAGCAGATGATCTGTCACCTTTGACCTTTAGCCTGGTGCTGCACAACCAGTAGGCTTTGATCACTGGACCTCAGGGACCTGCTGGGGGTGTAGGGACTAAGAAGATCACCAATGTAAGATGGTGCTTGTCCATGTAAGGCCCTATAGACCAGAACCAGGATCTTGAAATGAACCCTGAAGTTGACTGGCAGCCAGTGAAGCTGGAGGAGAAGCGGGGTGATGTGGGTGTGTTTGGAGGACTTGGTCAGAAGCCGAGCACAGGCGTTCTGAACCACCTGTAGACGGTTCAGGGAGGTTCTGCTCAGACACGTGAAAAGAGAGTTACAGTAGTCTAAGCGTGAGGAGATGAAGGTGTGGAGAACTGTCTCACGTTCAGAGCGGGACAGAATGGGACTCAGCTTAGCAACGTTCCTGAGATGGAAGAAGGAAGAGCGAACAAGAGAACTGACATGAGAATCCAGGGTGAGAGCCGGGTCAAAGGTCACGCCAAGATTCCTGACGGAGGTTTTGGTGTGGGAAGCAAGCTGACCAAGAGAGTCTCTGACTTTGGGAACCAGCTTGTCTGGGGCACAGATGAGGATCTCAGTCTTATCTTCATTCAGCTGAAGAAAGCTCCCACCATCCAGGTTCTGATAGAGACTAAGCAGGTGTGTAACAGCTGCAGCTTAGACATCTCATGGGGCTTAAAGGAGATGTACAGTTGGATGTCATCTGCATAAAGATGGTAGGAGATTCCTTTGAAGGAGCTCAGGATGTGCTGAAGAGGACACAGATAGAGGAGGAAGAGCAGAGGCCCCAGTCCAGAACCTTGTGGGACACCATGGGTAAGAGAGGTGGTGGAGGACCTAAACTTGGAGACGGCCACAGAAAAGGAGCGCTCAGAGAGATAAGAAGAGAACGACTCCAGAGCAGATCCTGATAGGCCTACCCAGTCTCTCAGCCTCTCCAGTAGCAGGTGATGGTCAACAGTGTCAAAGGCTGCAGTCAGGTCCAGCAGGACCAGAACAGAACAGTCCCCTGCATCACTGTGGGTCAGAAGGTCATTAGAGACCCTAAGAAGAGCTGTTTCAGTAGAATGAGCTCTACGAAAACCTGACTGGAAGCTATCATAGATGGGATGACAACTTTGATTGTTTACTAGAAAAACCAGCAAATAAAATGTTTACCTCTCATCCGGATGTTTACATTCGCTCACACCACAACCATGAAAAGCCCTAAATGTCCGTTATGCAGAACTGCATACATACATATGTATGTATGCATATATATGTATGTACGCGTACATACATACATACGTATGTATGCATACATATATATATATGTATATATGTATGTATGTATATATATATATGTATACATATATATATATATATATATATATATATATACATATATATATATATGTATACATATATATATATATGTATACATATATATATATATGTATACATATATATATATATGTATACATATATATATATATGTATATATATATATATATATATATATATATATATATATATATATATATATGTATACATATATATATATATATGTATACATATATATATATATGTATACATATATATATATATGTATGTATATATATATATATATATATATATATATATATATATATATATATATATATATATATATATATATATATATATATATATATACATACATATATATGTATATATATATATGTATGCTGAGCTGTGGTGGCCTCATGGAGGGGGCCATCGACTAGCACACTGCTGCTAACCACTTAAACATTCTCCCTCTCCTGATAATAACTTTTTACTTTCCTTGACGTTGGATGTGCTACTACTAGTTTACCCGTTTAATTATAGATCCACTAGGATAAATACAATAAAGTTTATCTCTCACCAAATAGAATATTTACTAAGACATCACAATGTAACCATAGAAACACTACTTGGTATATATATAGTGTGTGTGTGTGCGTGTGTGTGTGTGTGTGTGTGTGTGTGTGTGTGTGTGTGTGTGTATGTGTGCTCTGTCTTCTCCATCCCCAGTGAGTCGTGGAGGATGGCTGCTTATACTGAGCCAGGATTCTCTGGAGGTTTCTTCTTGTTAAAAGGGAGTTTTCCTCTCCACTGTCGCTGCATGCTTGCTTAGTATGAGGATTGCTGTATAGTCACTGACACTAGTCAGTGACTTGATGCAATTTGCTGGGTTCCTTATATAGGACACATTATTTCTGATTGGCTTAATGAACTGACCTGAATTGGAATGTTTATTATGTGAAGTGCCTTGAGACGACTCTTGTCGTGATTTGGCGATTTATAAATAAACTTGAATTGAATTGAAATTGAATATACACACATATTTATATATATGAATATATATAAATATACATATATATATATGAATATATATAAATATACATATATATATATATATATATATATATATATATATATATATATATATATATATATTTATATACATATATAAATGGGTCCACGTGGCAGGGGTGACGAGTGAGCTCCACCTCACCCCTGCCACGTAGACCCAAGGGATAATCCATCAATCCTGCTCCATGGTCAACGTTCCTCGCGGGGTCACCCATAAAGACAGAGGGAGGGTTGACATATCCCTGTTTACTCCACATCCTTTTTGGGATTTTATAATGTTGTTTAACACTTTCTTTCACAATCTGATTCTTCTCTACGATGGTACCATTTGTTTACACTCATCAAGCTTCCCACGTGTCCGCGCACATCCCAGAATGCTATGTGTAGTCAGGTGTGAACACAAGCCCAATTATCAGGAGAGGGGGAATGTTTAAGTGGTTAGCAGCAGTGTGCTAGACGATGGCCCCCTCCATGAGGCCACCACAGCTCAGCAGAACATCGTTGTAGCTTCTTCTGGGGAGAAAAACACTTAGAGAGAAAATAAAGTTAACAGCTGAAATAGCAGGAAATAATACAGTTAAAGAGCAGATTGTAGAAGAAAGCAGTAGAGTGTGGCCAGTCCTCACACCGACTCTAATCCCATCATGCGTGTGTGTGTGTGTGCGTGTGTGTGTGTGTGTGTGTGTGTGTGTGTGTGTGTGTGTGTGTGTGTGTGTGTGAGTGTGTGTGTGTGTGTGTGTGTGCGTGTGTGTCCAGATTATCATCTGCCATCTGCTGGCTCTAATCCACATGGGCACACTCTCTCTGGGTTGATGTGAGTCCTTCAGCATCAGCATCCATCAGCCGCAGTGCATGATGGGAGACGGGTTAATCCTGACCACGGATCAGATTTAAACCGGCCCAAACCCCTGACCCACTGGTACCAGAGGAACCAGAACCAGAACCTGGCTGGGATCAGCCCAAACCCTTTGGATCAGAAAGTTCTGGTATTCATTCACCAGCCTCTTATCTGTCACTGAAGGTTAAACGCGCACAGTAGCGCATGCGCGCGCACTCACCCCAGCTCGTGGCCGTGCGGCCCAGCAGCTCGTGCGTGCGCGGGTTCCAGAAGAACTCTCGCCACTGGCCCGAGCCTTTGCGGTCCTCCTCCTTTGATCCAGACATGATGGTGAGGATGAAGAAGATGAAGATGAGCTGTGTCCGACTCGGCGCGTGCGCGCTGCCTCCAGCCTAGGATCGATCCGTGCGCGATGATGGTGATGGTGGTGATGAAGGACTCGGAGACACTGCGGTAAACCTGGCAGGAGTGACGTCAGCGCGCCAATCAGAGAGCAGCTTCATCACCTGGTCCCGCCTCCCCCGTCCACCAGCCAGTGACGCCACTGAGTTTTTATTTGTATCCGGAGGATGGACCAATCATCATTTAGTTCTGGGGTCTCTGCTTCACCACTTTTATTTTGTCTTCCTCTCCAGATCTCACATCTGTGCTGTAAAAGCCTCTCAGTCAGTGAACACGTAAACAGTAAACAACAACAGCCAGCTGATGTAGCTACATGTAGCTCCTGGTCCGTCCAGCAGGTGGCACCAACAACCCAAAGGTTGTTAAGCAGCAGCAGAAAAAGCCGCTAGCAGGTGAGCTTGTTTCCGTGTTGTTCTGGACGTTTACGTCGGTCTGAGACACTCTACAGGGTTCTGAGTGCCAGTGCTGCAGCACGCTCCGGTTCATTTCTGATTAGGTTCTGCTGGTCCACTTTCATCGCGTGATCCTGCTGTGTTTAGCTAACGCTTTTAGCTTTCTGCTAGCATGACGCTTTTAGCTTCCATTATCGGACACCCACACTTCTCAGCTTGATCTGCAACCGAACCGGGCCACCGAGCTCTCCCTGCTGTGCTCAACCCATCTATGATAGTATATGGCTGCAGACCATAGAGATAGACCCCACGTGGTGGTCACTGCTGCCGATGGGCGCTGACGAGCGGTGGCGCCGCCATCTTGGATCGGTTGAGCCCCCCTCTCTGGCAGAGGCATTAAAGTGTCAGCATGTAAATCAACCACAACTCCATGCATTCTGAACCGATTTGATGCGTTTTCCCTGCAAACTACATGCAGCTCTGATACAGGACACATGTTTTAGCGTTTTTAGCACAAGTAAACAAATGTAAATAAACAATGTAGTTGACGTGTGTTACAACCCACAAACGACTTAGTTTCGCAGCCCAGTGTGAAGCAGCTGGGATGAGAATCAGCTCCTCTAAATCTGAGACCATGGTCTTTAATCAGAAAAGGGTAGAATGCCTTCTCCAGGTCAGGGATGAGGTCCTGCCTCAGGTGGAGGAGTTGAAGTATTGTAATGAAAGTAGCAGTGGGCAGCACGGGCAGAATATCTGGCTCTCCAGTCAGAACCCGAAATCACCACCAGTAGGCAATCATTTATAAAAGGATATGCTTTATTATACAATATGCTAAAACACAATAATAGAACCCAATAATAAAACACTAAACTAAAACACTGTGGCCAAAGTCTCCACTCCTAAAATCAGCTGTCCAGCATAAACACACAAGCAGCGGTACTTAGCTGTCACGGATGGTGTGACCCCCCCTCCCCGGGGTCTGAGCTTCCAGCACCGTCCAATGCCCCGGGATGTAGCTTGCGAGGACGGCGGGTAAATCCACAACATAAGTCCACTGCCAGGGTCTGTAGCGGCAGATGTCGGCGTGGTCTTGGCATCACCTAAGCCCAGCCCTTGCTGTCTAAAGAAGGCGACCAGCCTTCCCTCCTGACGCTGGAACTCTAAACACCTGTTTAGCTATCTTCGTCGCCGGCAGCCCTAACGACTGCGAACAACCCCACCCCCCAAAGTCCGATGCCACAATGACAGGTCGACCACGCACACCTCTCAGTAGGCCTGTCACCTTTTTATCCTCCCTGGCCTTGTTATCCATAACGAGGACCAGCTGATGTCCAATCACCACACCCTCGGAGCCCGGCAGCTTCTGTCTTCTGTCCATCACAGTATCTCGGGGTCTTGCTCACGAGTGAGGGAAAACTGGAGCGAGATCGACAGGCGGATTGGTGCTGCATCTGCAGTGATGCGGGCGTTGTACCGGTCTGTTGTGGTGAAGAGAGAGATGGCGAAGTTCTTGATTTACCGGTCGATCTACGTTCCTGCCCTCACCTATGGTCACGAGCTTTGGGTAGTGACCGAAAGAACGAGATTGCTGATACAAGCGGCTGAAATGAGTTTTATCCACACGGTGGCTGGGCTCTCCCTTAGAGATAGGGTGAGAAGCTCGGTCATCTGGGAGGGGCTCGGAGTAAATCCGCTGCATCCCCACATCGAGAGGAGCCAGTTGAGGTGGCTCGGGTATTTAGTTAGGATGCCTCCTGGATGCCTTCCCGGTGAGGTATTCCGGCCACTTCCAACGGGGAGGAGACCTAAAGGTAGACCCAGGACACGCTGGAGGGACTATGTCTGGGCCTTTCTGCTTAAGCCGGGCGGACACTGTGCGACTTTTTCACTTTTTTGAGCCGATTTTCCACTCGTGCGAGAATCCACGAGATCGGGGAGAGTTTTGCGCCGAGCGGTCGTGTAGTGTACGGGGGTTACGAGAGGCGATCAACACCACGTGACCAGCTGCCGATCAGCAGTCATGAGGTTGCACAGACTTCTGGCGTGTTTAATATTTTGCTCGTCCCTCGTGAGGGTATCACACTGTTGAAGCGGCGCTGCGAGCAGCTGCGACTCAAAAAGTACCAGAACCGCTCACGGTGCATGCACAATCCTGCATCAATGCCGCTCCCCACTATTTCCCTAATAACACACGCTGTTCGTTTTTGTTTCTACACGTTTTTTTACTCACAAAGAAAGCGTGTTGGTCGTGTTCATGTCAAATTAAACTGATCACTAAACTCAGATTTACTTTCTTTATTTGGTTTTCCTCATCCAACCCCCATAAATCCCTGTGTGTCCTCCTGCAGCACTCCCGCAGGACAACAGGCAAGACAAACAAGTCTGGCGTGTTGAGTAAAAACGGCTATTTTTAGCATTTTTTAGGTCCGACGTGTTGCTACCAGACGTGCAGCGTGAGCAGTCAGGTCGCATCCGAGAACTGGGTCGTGCAGTGTGAGCGCCTGGCTCGTGAGATCTGCCCTGCGAGGACGTCGTACAGTTTGAGCTGAAGCTGAGTGCTGCAAGTGAACAAGTCACCCGACTCTGGATAAGCGGTTGAAAATGGATGGATGGAGTTTCACTGTCTATTTTCTATCAGAAGCTACTGCAGGAGATAGGTGTAGGAGACTATTTTCTTGTTCAGCCTGTATGAGAAACACAGAGTTTCCCATTATTATCAGAAATAATCATTAAAACATGGTTAATCAGTCAACTTGGTCATTAACGTGCTGGAGGCACACTTACAATTTGAAAGTGTTACTTATGCTATGTTTGTTCTTCTCAGGTTGCCATGGAGGCCACTGTAATCGTAGAGGACCAGGTGGACATTCAGATGGAGAACAGGGTGAAGGAGAAGGAACTGGAGGAGCTCTCGCCCTCTGACAGAGAGCCAAAGATAATCCACCGCTCTTTGGGGAGGCGGGGTCTACGAGTAACAAGGCGAGGCCCTCCAGAAAAGAGGCGGGGACCTCCAGAAAAGAGGCGAGGCCAGAAACAGAAGAGGCGGGGCCAGAAGGAGAAGTCAGATGGTGTGACGGTGAAGAGGACATGGAGTGGTGGGAAGCGGCGCTGGGACAAGAAACATTACTGTGTTTTCTGCCGCCGGCCGCAGGTGAAGATCGCTCGCCACCTGCTCAGGAAACATTGTGATGAGCAGGAAGTAATGGAGGCCAGTGTGCTGCCAACAGGTTCCAAACAGCGCCACCTGCTACTGGAACGCCTGCGCTGCAGGGGAAACTACATGCACAACATTGAGGTTTGTTTTAGGCTCCCTTCTGGTTTAGCTGCTGGGTTCTGGTTAAACATCCTGTCGCCGTTCTGTCAGGTGATCCGACAGGGCAGCGGGGAGATCGTGCCGTGGCGTCAGCCCTCAGAGGACGTCGATGCTAGAAACTACCTGCCCTGCCCCCTCTGCCTTGGGTTCTTCCTCCGTGCTGATCTCTGGAAACATCAGGCGTCCTGTCGTAAGAAGCTAGCTGCTGACCTGTCCAGAGGTCCCTTCTTAGATCTACTCACCCAGCAGGTGAAGACCTCCTCAGGTGAACCAACCTGTGATTCAGCAGAACAAGCACCTACAGATCCCGTCAGACTGTCTACGCACCAGCCCCTGTCCTCTGGTTCTGATGTGGACCAGAACCAGAACTCTGCAGTGACTCCACCCAGGAAGAGGACCAGAGTCCAGGCTGCAGCATCTCGCCTGCTGCCCATCTCCAGTGGAGCTTCAGAGAGCTGCAGTGAGATCCTGCACCGCATGAACCAGGACACCGTGTCCCATCAGGTTTTTATGGAACACTAATTTAATCTGGTAACTGGGATTAGACACAAGTCCTCCTAGAGAGACCTGCTCAGGGTGGGCAGCATCGTTTAAACCTACATTTATGAAACACTTTTAGTAACAATGAGCAGAAATCCCATGATCAGTGATTTATGAGTTTCATTTATGAATAAATAAATAAATATTTAGGAGTCATCCTGGAATCACGACGGCTAAAAACACCCCAGACGGTTACACCAGCACACCTGTAACTCCTCTCCACTCTGTCCACACGAGCTGTGTCTCTGACTCCTCCTCTCTCATCCAGGTGAAGTCTGATTGGCTGATCTGTAAATACGGAAACAAGTTGATGGGGAACCAAGATGGTGGACTGAGGAGGTACGACTACTTCAGCCAGAAGCTCCGAGAACTTGGTCGGTTACTGCTGGCAGCCAAGTCTCTTGACTCCGACATCCAGACCTTGCAGGACCTTCTGGCTCCAGGCCATCTCAGCCTGGTTCTGTCAGCCGCCAGGAAGGCCTCTGGGTACAGATGGAGCCGCCCCCCGCTATCGATCAAGACCACGCTGAAGACCATCTGTGAGGTTGCCATTGAACAGAGTCTGCAGGTTGCAGACTGGGAGGCTGCTGCCAGGGCTACCGACTTCTACCACATGTTGGGGAAGGAGTGGGACACTCTAGGTCTGGAGAACCCTGGTCCTGACCCAGGTAAGACCTGAGAGCCTTGCACTGATGAAGACCTTTATCAAAGGTGGGTAGATGGAGTCTATAGTTTAATGTTTCTGTCTTTAGAGAATTCAGAGGAAGGGACCACCCCAAAGAAACAAGTCTTCTGTCCCCACACGGAGAACAACCAGAGACCTGATGGTGAGTTCTGATCACAGAAGTTCTGATTATCATCAAAAAGTTCCTTCATTTAGTCAGAAAGTCAGTAAGTAAATTTTATTTGTATTGCATTCATCATAGCTAGTGTTCTTGTTATGTTACTGGTTTTACTGTATTTTCTGTGTTTTATTCCTGTCTTATTTGATGACTGAGTTTTATGTTTTACTGTTGCTGTAAAGCGCCTTGACGGCATGCGCTGTTGCTGTAAAGTGCCTTGGTGGCATGCGCTGTTGCTGTAAAGCGCCTTGACGGCATGCGCTGTTGCTGTAAAGCGCCTTGGTGGCATGCGCTGTTGCTGTAAAGCGCCTTGACGGCATGCGCTGTTGCTGTAAAGCGCCTTGGTGGCATGCGCTGTTGCTGTAAAGCGCCTTGGTGGCATGCGCTGTTGCTGTAAAGCACCTTGACGGCATGCGCTGTTGCTGTAAAGCACCTTGACGGCATGCACTGTTGCTGTAAAGCACCTTGACGGCATGCACTGTTGCTGTAAAGCGCCTTGGTGGCATGCGCTGTTGCTGTAAAGCGCCTTGGTGGCATGCGCTGTTGCTGTAAAGCGCCTTGGTGGCATGCACTGTTGCTGTAAAGCGCCTTGGTGGCATGCGCTGTTGCTGTAAAGCGCCTTGGTGGCATGCACTGTTGCTGTAAAGCGGCATGCACTGTTGCTGTAAAGCTCCTTGGTGGCATGCACTGTTGCTGTAAAGCGCCTTGGTGGCATGCACTGTTGCTGTAAAGCACCTTGGTGGCATGCGCTGTTGCTGTAAAGCGCCTTGGTGGCATGCGCTGTTGCTGTAAAGCGCCTTGGTGGCATGCACTGTTGCTGTAAAGCGCCTTGGTGGCATGCGCTGTTGCTGTAAAGCGCCTTGGTGGCATGCACTGTTGCTGTAAAGCGCCTTGGTGGCATGCGCTGTTGCTGTAAAGCGCCTTGGTGGCATGCACTGTTGCTGTAAAGCGGCATGCACTGTTGCTGTAAAGCTCCTTGGTGGCATGCACTGTTGCTGTAAAGCGCCTTGGTGGCATGCACTGTTGCTGTAAAGCACCTTGGTGGCATGCGCTGTTGCTGTAAAGCGCCTTGGTGGCATGCGCTGTTGCTGTAAAGCGGCATGCACTGTTGCTGTAAAGCGCCTTGTTGGCATGCACTGTTGCTGTAAAGCACCTTGGTGGCATGCACTGTTGCTGTAAAGCGCCTTGGTGGCATGCGCTGTTGCTGTAAAGCGCCTTGGTGGCATGCGCTGTTGCTGTAAAGCACCTTGGTGGCATGCGCTGTTGCTGTAAAGCACCTTGGTGGCATGCACTGTTGCTGTAAAGCACCTTGGTGGCATGCACTGTTGCTGTAAAGCACCTTGACGGCATGCGCTGTTGCTGTAAAGCACCTTGATGGCATGCACTGTTGCTGTAAAGCACCTTGACGGCATGCGCTGTTGCTGTAAAGCGCCTTGACGGCATGCGCTGTTGCTGTAAAGCGCCTTGGTGGCATGTGCTGTTGCTGTAAAGCGCCTTGACGGCATGCGCTGTTGCTGTAAAGCGCCTTGACGGCATGCGCTGTTGCTGTAAAGCGCCTTGGTGGCATGCGCTGTTGCTGTAAAGCGCCTTGGTGGCATGCGCTGTTGCTGTAAAGCGCCTTGGTGGCATGCGCTGTTGCTGTAAAGCGCCTTGGTGGCATGCGCTGTTGCTGTAAAGCGCCTTGGTGGCATGCGCTGTTGCTGTAAAGCGCCTTGGTGGAATGCACTGTTGCTGTAAAGCGCCTTGACGGCATGCGCTGTTGCTGTAAAGCACCTTGGTGGCATGCGCTGTTGCTGTAAAGCGCCTTGGTGGCATGCGCTGTTGCTGTAAAGCGCCTTGGTGGCATGCGCTGTTGCTGTAAAGCGCCTTGGTGGCATGCGCTGTTGCTGTAAAGCGCCTTGGTGGCATGCGCTGTTGCTGTAAAGCGCCTTGGTGGCATGCGCTGTTGCTGTAAAGCGCCTTGACGGCATGCGCTGTTGCTGTAAAGCGCCTTGGTGGCATGCGCTGTTGCTGTAAAGCGCCTTGACGGCATGCGCTGTTGCTGTAAAGCGCCTTGACGGCATGCGCTGTTGCTGTAAAGCGCCTTGGTGGCATGCGCTGTTGCTGTAAAGCGCCTTGGTGGCATGCGCTGTTGCTGTAAAGCGCCTTGGTGGCATGCGCTGTTGCTGTAAAGCACCTTGGTGGCATGCGCTGTTGCTGTAAAGCGCCTTGGTGGCATGCGCTGTTGCTGTAAAGCGCCTTGGTGGCATGCACTGTTGCTGTAAAGCGCCTTGGTGGCATGCGCTGTTGCTGTAAAGCGCCTTGGTGGCATGCGCTGTTGCTGTAAAGCGCCTTGGTGGCATGCGCTGTTGCTGTAAAGCGCCTTGGTGGCATGCGCTGTTGCTGTAAAGCGCCTTGGTGGCATGCGCTGTTGCTGTAAAGCGCCTTGGTGGCATGCGCTGTTGCTGTAAAGCGCCTTGGTGGCATGCACTGTTGCTGTAAAGCGCCTTGATGGCATGCGCTGTTGCTGTAAAGCGCCTTGGTGGCATGCGCTGTTGCTGTAAAGCACCTTGGTGGCATGCGCTGTTGCTGTAAAGCACCTTGGTGGCATGCGCTGTTGCTGTAAAGCGCCTTGGTGGCATGCACTGTTGCTGTAAAGCGGCATGCGCTGTTGCTGTAAAGCACCTTGTTGGCATGCACTGTTGCTGTAAAGCGCCTTGACGGCATGCGCTGTTGCTGTAAAGCGCCTTGGTGGCATGCGCTGTTGCTGTAAAGCGCCTTGACGGCATGCGCTGTTGCTGTAAAGCACCTTGGTGGCATGCACTGTTGCTGTAAAGCGCCTTGTTGGCATGCACTGTTGCTGTAAAACGCTGTTGCTGTAAAACACTGTACAAATAAAGTGGAGTTGAGTCATTACAGATAGAAGATCACAAAGTGCTTCGCATAGATCGAAACAAACCAGAACAGAGCATAAATGTTGCTGACGGTCCTCAGTCATCCAGGTCATGGTGACCCATAAGGGTTCAGAGAGTAAATGAGGAGCTTTGTCAGTTCTGACTGGAATATGGGAGAGTCCAGCTTATAGCTGTAGCTGTTGTTGTTTAACGAGCAGAAACTACTCTGAATACCCCTCCTCTCCATCCCCTGATGAGTCATTGTGTTGATCAGATGCAGGAAGGTGTGACCTGGACTGAAGCTGCTCAGGAATGAGCTGCATTATGGGTACTGGAAAGGTGAAATCTAAGCCCCGCCCCTGTTTAAAGTGAGTTTTTCACGTTTGACATAGATAGCTTCTTTTACTCCTCTCTCGCACCATCTGTCTTCTCTGTCCAGCATGTGTCCTTGTCCTTCAGGTGCAGGTGGACTGCAGTCGTGACCTGAAGAGGTGGCTCTCCAGTGTTGTGCCATGCTCTTGTGTAGTTGTTGTTTAGTTTCCTGATGTAAACATCTGGACAGTCCTCGCTACACTGGACTGCCTAAGTGACGCCACTGAGCTTCTGTTTGGGTGTTTTGTCTTCAGGATGGACCAGGTTCTGTCTGAGGGTGTTGTTGGGTTAAAGTTCACAGGGATGTTGTGTTTGGAGAAGATTCTTCTACGTTTCTTCCTTTTGTTTTCCTTCAGTCTTTGTGCCCGATTGTGTGAAGTCCTGATGACTGACACGTTGTGCTCCAGTGGGTGATGTGAGCCCAAATGCAGATACTGGTCTGTGTGAGCTGGTTTCCTGTAGACTTCGATGCTGACACTTCCATCTTGTTCAGTTAACACAGCACAGTCCAAGAAGGGCAGCTGGTGGTTGTGGACATGCTCCCTGGTGAACATGACGTTCTTGTCCACGGCATTGTTGTGCTCGGTAAAGTCTTCTACTTCCTGTGTGAGAGTCCTGACCCATGTGTCGTCCACATACCTGACCAGCAGCTTGGTGTTGTTCCATGGTAGGATGCTCTGGTTTCCACTTCCTCCATGTAAATGTTAGCGACGATAGCTGACACTGGGGAGCCCATGGGGCATCCATGTTGAAGTAACTGGACAGTAGCGTGCTCGTCACATTTATTTGATCAGTTCCTCTTTTGAAATTCATCTCGACATCAAGGCCTTATCGACACATTTAACCCTTAAATGCCTTACTTGTGATCCAGAATACCGGTACAGCCCCTGACCTTATGAGTGGACGGACCCACTCGCAGAGGCCTTACCTTCATGGGGAACCAGATTTATTCAAAGTGGGTCTAGTTACTGGCTTACCTCCTGCTGGTATGGGCCCAGGGACTGTGCTGGCCAGGAGAAGTCTCTCCACATGATCCTGTTTCTGGATCCCACCAAACTGGTGGCAAGGGTATCGTAGGATTCTGATGCAGCGAGTGTGCAGCTTCAGATCCAGAGATGCTGCATGAGCCTCGTTGGTTCCAGCCGGCTTCTGGGGTCAGGAGTAGAGGGTTAAGCCCGAGCTAAGCTGAATGATACATGATAAATGAGCCGCACTTGTATAGCGCCGCTCAGAGTAAGGACTCCAAAGCGCTTTACACTACAGTGCATCATTCATCCATTCACACACACATTCACACACTGGTGGTGATGAGCTACCATGTAGCCACAGCTGCCCTGGGGCATACTGACAGAGGCGAGGCTGCTGAGCACAGGCGCCACCGGGCCCTCCGTTCACCACCTGCAGGCAAGGTGGGTTAAGTGTCTTGCCCAAGGGCACAACAGCAGAATTCTCTGCTGGGATTGAACCTGCAACCTTCTGATTACTGGACAACCCGCTGTACCTGTTGAGCTACTGCTGCCCCCGCCTGAAGCTGCTCTTATGAGAAAGGAGCTGTCAGCTATGCAATTATCTAACTAAGCCTCTGGGTTCTGATCTAGCAACGCTTTTAATAAACCAAGAAATGTCAACACCGCTAAATCAGCCCAGGGCTATCAATGACAAAGAGCAGTCATTCCATGTTGACGCAGCCATTTGAAGACGGGGAAGACAGGAGAACCGACGGACAGCTAATCTTGACAG